GTACCAGGGGTCAAACTCAGGTCCTTGTGCTTGCAAGGCAGGCCACCGAACCGCTGAGCTAAATCCCCAGCCCAGGCATAGATTTTTTAATGATAAAAAATAACCTTTCAGGCTGGGGTAGGTCAGGTTGGCTTTAAACTATATAGCCCAGGTTGCCCTCAAACTTATGGATATCCTCCTGCCTCAGCTTCTCCACTACTGGGATTATAGGTGTATGCCACACACCTGTTGTTATTGTTGAATTTTAAGAGAGCTTTGTTTTAGGTACAAGTCTCTTATCAGATACATATTTGTACATATTTTTCCCATTCTCTGAGTTTTCTTTTCACTTGATTGTGTCCTTTGAAGCACAAAAGATTTTTAATCTTTATGAACTTCAACTTATTTTTTATCACTTCTACTTTTTCTGTTACATTTAAGAAACCATTGCCTAATCCATATAAAGATTTTCTCCTATGTTGTTTTCTAAGAGTTTAACAGCTTTTGTTCTTACCTTTAGGTCTCTCATACATCTTAGTTCATTTTTGTGTGTGATGTCAGGTGGCTGGGGAGTTCAACTTCATTCTTTAGTTTCTGGCTATCATGTCTCAACACCATTTGTTTACTCTTCTTTTTCCTTGTTGAATTTTTCTGAGATTAGTTGGATATTTTTCATATGATTTGTGTTCCTTCTACAAAATGTATTTCTGAATCACCTGTAGTTACTGTAGTAACTTTGCCCAAACTCAACAGTGAATATATTAAGAAGCTGTCATGATTCTCTTGCAAGTCCTTAATAATGTGCCCATTAGTCTGATAATGATGAATGTGTTGTTACAGGAATCAGTGACATTTCAGGATGTGGCTGTGGCCTTCACCCCAGAAGAGTGGCAGATTCTTGACTGTGATCAGAGGATGATGTATTGGGATGTGATGTTGGACAATTATAGAAACCTCATTTCAGTGGGTAAGGACAGTGAGTGGAAACTTTTTAGTGTAATGCAGAATGTACCAATGGGTGCCCTTCCTTTAAGCTTGTGAAAGCTCTGAACATCTGAAACATTAATACAGTAAATCTGGTCCTGAATATCAGTGGTCAAAGATTCTTAATCCCCTTTAGGGATCAGGTCGTCCTTAGTCTTTTTATGCTTCTACTTCTGGATGGAGAAGAGGCATTGTTCTAGAGCCTGTTTGTCAAGTCTCTGAGACTCAAGGAAGCAGACTTGAGTTATGAGGAGTTATTTGTCTCTAGCACTTTGTCTCTTCTGTTGTCTTCCCATGAATAGGGTCTCCAGTTACTAAACCAAAAGTGATTCTCAAAGTGGAAGAAGGACAGGACCCATGGCTGGAGGAGGAAGAGGATCTCCATTGGAGCTATCCAGGTGAGTGAGAAAATCAGATGAGAGCACTTGGAATTGACAGCCCAGGTGGTCAGTGAGGCACTTTTGAAATACCTCTTAGGAAGCACCTCTTAAAAGCCACACACCTCTGTAAGTGATTGGGTACTCTTGATATAACATCATCAAATTCCCAGATGTACCTTCTTTTCCCTCTATCCACATAGATGCTTTTACTCTTTGCTCAGCTGTTGTATAGAGGATGTCCTCTGTCCGCCCTGGCTCCTCACACTGCTGTTTCATCTAGGCCCTTGCTTTGTTTCTCATCTCACAGTTCCTGAAGCCCTCATTTTTTCCTTCTCAACATGATTACAGATCTTTTTCTATCATTAATTTTTATAATGTTAAATTGTGTGGATTTGGAACCTTATTTTACCATTCATTGTCTAACCTTAGGCAAATTATTTTGTAGCATACTTTTATTAAAACAATAAGAATTATACTTCCTTAGGATTCCTGTAAAGGATATAGGAGCTAATATATGCAAAACACTTGAGATAGCTGGCAGACACTGAAAGTGTTGAGTTAACATGATACTCTAGTCATCTTCCTTTTTAAAAAATAAAGTTACTCTTGTATTTGCATTACATACCCCAGTGTTGTGTTTTTTGTTTTGTTTTGTTTTAGTACTGGGCTTGAACCCAAGGATTTCACACTAAGCTACTTTCTTGGCCCCTTTCTGGAGACAGATTCTCACCAAGGTGCTAAATTGCCCAACCTTTTAATTTTTTTTTTTTTTAAGATAGGAAAAATTTATTGAGAGAAAGAAAGTTTCTGTCTAAGAGAGACAGAGGGGAGACCAGAAAGTGGGTCGCCTGCCCACCCCACTTTTCAAAGATGTTTTATACAGCAAAGCTATGTGGTAAGGTGGGTACAAAGTGGGACAAAACTATAAGACCCAATGGAAAATTGCAAGGTGGGGCAAAACCATGACCAACTAATAAGATTACAAGTATGGTCACCCAAATCACTGTAGCAAGTGTACAAGGATTTTCAGTAAGGGTGGGGGTCAGGGATATTTCCTGGAAAGGCTGGGTTAAGACTTTGGCCCCCAACCCAGTTGATTGATTGATACCTGTTTAAAATATCAGTCACTGCTATTTATCCCCAGGGGTAGCACAGGGATGTGGTAGTTTCTCTCCTTTTACAATTCTGGCCTTCAGTGAATGTGTTTGGATTGTCTTCCATGTTGGCTCCTTGCTGTGTTGGTTCCTTGAAGGCTGGTTGCTTGAGGGCAGCCCTGTCTAACCGCCTTCCAAGAGATCTAATTAACTTACCTACCTGCAGTATTCTTCCCTCTAAAGAAGTACCCGTCACTGCTGTGAGGGGACAAGGGGTGAAGACAGCTTTGGCTACTCAGCCTTTTCAAATTTTGAGACAAGGTTTTGTTATTAAATTGCTCAGACTCGGCTCGAACTTAAGCACCCCTTCAGTGATTGGGAGAAACAACATGGCAATAAAGATTTTATTACTTACAGATCCAGGAGGATACTCTGTATGACTGGAGGAGATACAACAAGGGCAGGGACTAAGAGCGGGACCCGTTGTCCAGTGCTTTAATTGGGTCTAAGGTGTTATTCAGACAGCTTAGATGAGGAGTTCTAGTGGGTGGATATAAAGCGTGGAGGCACTCTGTGATTGAGAGGTGCTTCCTGGGACAATGTGCATAGTGCACATGGGGTGTGCAGATCACCAGGACCAGTCAAGCTGGGTGTATCGATCTGTCCCACAGAGAAGTAGGTGATCACCAGGGAGCAGCTGTGTACAGTGGAAATCTGGATCGACCATGCTGAAGAACTGGGGGGTGGAAAGGGTATAGCCCGGGAAGCCATGTCAAGCCTGACCAAGCCCTGCTTCTGATACAAGAAAGTTAAACTTACATTCAAAATGAAGCCGAGGCGGCATAAACTTGAAAGAATTCACTGTACTTACCTTGTTTGTCTTTAGTCTCATTGATGATGTGCATATGTTCTAGTGTATCAGTTTGGTAATACTGATATTGTTTTGAAATTCTTGCGGATTATTTATTCATCTTTTGCCTCCTCTACCCTCTTCTCCACTCCCCACAGTAACTCCCTTGGACATCTCAACACTCCCTCTCTAGCACCTTTACCTCAGCAACTTCCCATCCCCGTAGTTTTATGCCTCCTGGACTTATTTCCAGTCTTTTCATAGTAACTAATTTTAAAAATTCTTCAACCTTTACATTCGTCTCTGTGTTACGATAAAGAATAATGACTGGCCCAGTGCTTTATATAATCTGCCAAAAAATATATGTACACACACCAGGAACAGAAAAATGTGTATAAATATTTTACTACTAAATTTGCTCAATACCTGAAATGTACCAATAAACTCAATGAGAGAAAAAAATTACTGAGCCATCATAAGATTAATACAAGTTACCTTTGGCCTTTACAATTACAAGAGATCCTCAAAGCGGTCACACTAGCTTCTAGATATTTATTAGTACAGTGAACTTCTGCTTGGGAAACATTGGTCCACTGAGATTGCAGCATGTGCATTTTTTTTGGGGGGGGGTGTTTGAGACAGAGTTTCACTATGTAGTTGAGACTGACTGGGAAGTCACTATGTAGCCCGGGCTCTCAAACTCAGAGCTATCTTCCTGCCTCAGCCTCCCAAGTGCTGGGATTACAAGTGTAAGCCACCACGCCCGGCTGCAGCATGTGCATTTTTAATTTCTTCTCGAAGGGCCGGCAATATAGTGAGTTTTCTACAATGTATGACATCCTCTAGGATCCCCCGTACAAAGGTAACAGCATCTGTTGAAAAAGCATCACACAATTTTTCTTTTCTTAAAGTGTGTATGCATTTTCTTTTGGCAGACTATAGTCTTAAAATCATTGCAGTAAGCAGTTTTTTTCTCCCAGTAGTTTCACCAGAAATGGTATACAGTTTTATGGCCTATGATCTCACTTAATCTAAGATTGATTTAATAGAAAATTTTCATTTTCCTCAGAGCATAGAAGGAAAATGTTTCAAATGATTCAGACACCAGTTCCCTAGAGTCACATCTTCTGACACAAACCAAATGATTTTTTTGTTCGTTTTTTGAAACAGGGTCTCACTGTCACTCCTGTAGTCCAGGCTGACCTTAAATTTGCTGTGTGACCTAGGCCACACTTGAACTTGTGGTCCTCCTGTCTCAGCCTCCAGTGTACTGGGATCACAGGCATGTGCCATCATGCCTGGCTCTAAACCAAGTAAATTTTAATTACTGATATTGTATCTGGCCTGTTTATGTTTCCATTCTTCCTATTTGCATTCTATTTTTTTGTTTATCTTTGATGTTACTCCATGATTTACCCAAATTATTTCATCTTTGCTCTATTCTGAGAAATGTAAATCAGTCCTTTATAACCTGTATCTTGATTATTCAAATAGCTTCTAATGCTCTCTCTAGTGTGGTTCTATTTTGCTCATCAAAAATTACCTATTTTAGGGGCTGGGGATTTAGCTCAGTGGTTCCAGCCCTTGTCTTGCAAACACAGGACCTGAGTTCAATCCCCGGTACAAAAAAAAACAAACAAATAAAAAAAACAAACCTGTCTTTTCCCTATTCTATAAGAATCGGGCTCTTTTATATCCTTTACACATAATTTCTTTTTCTGTAATTGTGGTGGGCTCCACCTAAAACTCGTGTGCCATTAAGTTTGAGGTCAATTTGCTCCTCTTTCATGAAAACTATCATTTTCTGCTTTCTTGAATTCCCTGTGCAGTTCTGCCAAGACTCTATAGTGACAGCTTGACATATTCTGTCTTAGACTTTTAAAAAACCCTGGTGGCTTTTAAAGTGTAGTTTTTCATGTAGTGTCCTAAAGAAAGAGCTGTATTATTTCTTTTAATGAATGTTTTATTAATTCACTGTTGCAGAGGCATACATCATGGGTTATGTTTCTTTTTTTTCCATTCTACAAGACTTTTTTTTAATGTTTCCTGAGAAGGATTCAAAGAAAGCTAAAACTCATTACCGTTTCCTAATGTATAAATGGTAACTGGAACCACAAAACATTTAAAACATTTTAAAATTGGATGAGTATAAAATATTTGTTCATTACATATTAACATTGCAGTTTTGTTATAGTTAATATTTTCAAAATGGGGGAACGGGGGAAAAAAAGAACCAAGATATCTCATGTATGGGTACAAAATCCCATTGCTGAATGTGTGATCATAATGTATACCTAAAATGCACCAACAAACTTACGAATAGAAAAAATACTTTCGAAATGAATGGTATAGGCAGCAGTGACTGTTAATCAGCTTTCTGTTGCTGTGACCAAATACCTGAGAAAAACAACTTAAAGGAGGAGAGATTTATTCTGGCTCATGGTTCCAGTCCACGGTTAGCCGGCTGCATTGCCATCAGATCTGTGATGAGGCAAAAACATCATGGCAGGGAGAGTAACACAGAGGAAAATGGCTTCCCTCATGGCAGCTGGGAAGCAAAGAGAGAGCCAGATCCTGAGATGGTGGCTAGGGGAAAGATATTTGTATCATCGCCAAGGTCTCATGTCCACAACCCACTCTCTTCAACTAGACCCCACCTCCCAAATTTCCATATCCTCCTAGTGATGCTGTCAAATCATGAATCCATGATCGATCAATACACGGAGGAAGTTTGAACTCTTATGATCAAATCACCTTCCATAAGCCTGTCAGCTGATAAGCACCCTCCCACCACAAGGCAGGGAGGCAGGGGACATTTCACATACAAACCATAATAACATTTATCTCAGAAATCCACAGAAAACCAAGGTAGAGATGGATTTTTTTGAGATTGTGGAACAGTGGCTCCTCCCAAAAGAATATCAAGTGCTAAATGGAAGAGATGAGGGAGGGCAAGTTAAGGTAAGGAAGGAACAAGAGCAAAAGATCATGATTGCATATAATCTCTGAGTAAGGATGATTAAATTTAGGACTTTTCTTTACCGTCTTACTTTCCTATCACCGGGATAAAATATCTAACACACAAATTAAAGGAGAGGTTTATTTGGCTCAGGGCTACAGCCTAGATTAGCAGGCTGCAGAGCAGCATGGTACGGCACAGGGACAGAGCAGAATAAAAGCTGCACATGGTAGCCATGAAGCAGAGAGTGAAGGGGAGCCAGGAAAGAAGCTATACCCTCCCCAGTCACAGCCTTGGGGACCCCCATCTGCTGACCAGGCCCCATCTCCTGACAGCAAGTGAGCCCCGTAATCCAGTCACCTTCCAAATGGATGAGGCTTTAGAGCCATAACATTTACAGTGGTGCAAAAAGTGATAATGCATTTGGAAAGTTTACTTCAAGTTTAGAATTTTGATGTCTTCTGAGCTGGCAACACATGGTACTCTCAAGATGCTGGGCAGCAGTAGTGAGTCACAACTCTTAGTCACGATCGCAAGGGTAAACCACCTGTACTCTACAGGGTACTGCATCACTGAGCTACAGTGTTTGGTAGGTTAGGTGTATTAAGTGCAGTTTAACAATAATACTGTCAATTTATGAGGTGTTCATCTGGACATAACTCTATTGTAAGTTGAGAAGCATTTTTTTGAAGTCTGGAATCCATGGAACAGAACATACTGAGGACTAGTGAAATGCATGCTTAGATCCCCTGAGTAAATTCATATCTTTTAGTTTTTGTATACCTGGCTGATTACCTGAGATTTTTTACTTGGCTATTGTTTGTAGCTGCTTCCCATTGGTTTTACTAGAAAAGAAAGAAGTGAATCCCCATACTCAGAACTATTCTATAATGAAATGTGTTCTAATGCCTTTTGCCCACGCTCTGTCTTGCCCCAACAGGGCAAGAAGTTGGGAGTGTTGTACTATACTAACCTTCCACATGGAGGGAAATTCCAAAGTGGAGAATTATAACCCCTCCTCTCCCCCCACTGTTTTTTTTCAAGTGGAGTAACAGATTTAAGATTTATAAGGTTTTGGGCTAGGGATTTAGCTCAGCGGTTTGGTGGCCTGCCTCGCAAGTGCAAGGACCGGAGTTCGATCCCCGGTACCAAAGAAAAAAAAGATTTATAAGGTTTTTGAGGATAGGAGCAAAAAACATCATGTAAGGAGTAAAACAGCTTTCAGGCAGACTGAGAGAGTATGTAGTATGCCCAACACAAATACAACAGGTAATTTGTCATACACAGAAACCCAGCCAGAATTAAACTGTTAGCAAGCAAAATGTATGATTGGGCTAAGGATGACTTGCCTACATATGACCTGCTGGACATCTGTGTTCCTCGGCCTGTAAGTACGTGCAAAATGAGCGTGGGCTATCAGAAGAGTTGGAGCCCTGTCTACAGATGCGCCTCCTCTGGATGTGTTTAGAGGACTGGAGATTCAAGAATCTCTTAAGGGAAATTTATATTCTGCAGGGTGATTAGAAGGACAAAGAGAGATCAAGAGAAATATAGAACTATTTGACCAGGGTAATTAGGCATTTGCCGAGAGGACTCTGCCTCTTATCTCTCTCCTCCAAACCTAGTCTGTTCTCGGATACTTTCCCTTAGCTCCCTCGTCTCCTCTTCCCCTTGTGACCTTATCCATTGGCCATAGCTCCAAAATGGCTCTTTTCATTCTGTGACTTAACCTTGTACCCTTACTGCACAATGTTTTGACTTTTATTTTTGTACCTTATTCACTGAACTCTGTGTCTGTTTTATTGAGTTTCTACAGATAATGCTAAGTCATCTGTTCTCATTTTTGGTTGTGCATCTGTTTGCATATCCTCGTTAGCAGTTTTATTCTTAAAGCTCAAGAAGACCAAGGCAAATAAAAATAGGTTTATTTCATAGAGTAAGAGACTTGATTTGAAACCACAGACTTTTCTGTCTGGAACAGGCTGGAGGGGAAAAAAATAACTAGGAATGTTTTATTGTACTCCTTTTTAGAAGCTGACTGTCTACTTGATGAACCAGAGAAGCATCAGGAAAGCAAAGACAATTTTTTGAAGTCGGTTTTGTTCACGTTCAATAGAATTCTGACTATGGAGAAACTCCACCATTACAATAGGAGCACACATCTTAATCCAACAAGAAAAAGATCACATAAATGTAAATCTTATGGGAAGAATTTGGAACCTAATTTAGACTTACTTAATTATAGCAGAAGTTTTACTGGAGAAAACTCCTATGAATGCAGTGAATGTGGGAAAGCCTTCAAAAAGAAGTTTCATTTCATTAGACATGAAAAAAATCATACAAGAAAAAAGCCCTTAGAATGTAGTGTCTGTGGGAAAGCTTATAGTAGGAAGGTATACCTTATAGCTCATCAGAAAATGCATAGTGGAGAAAGACCCTTTGTGTGCACTGATTGTGGGAAAGCTTTTACACAGAAATCCTACCTTGTGAACCACCAGAGACTTCACACTGGAGAAAAACCTTATAGGTGCAGTCAGTGTGGGAAAACATTCATTTGGAGCTCCTCTTTTAATCAACATGTGAAATCTCATATGCTTGCAAACCCGTTCAAATGTAAGGAATGTGGGAAGACCTTCAAGTATAGTTCATCCCTCTATAAACATTCTAGAAGTCACACAGGAGAGAAACCCTACCGATGTGTCATATGTGGCAAGGCCTTTGGCAACACATCTGTACTTGTTACCCATCAAAGAATTCATACAGGAGAGAAACCTTATGGATGTATTGAATGTGGCAAAGCCTTCATCAAGAAGTCTCATCTCCTTAGACATCGGGTAACTCATACAGGAGAGAAGCCCTATGAATGTAACATATGCGGGAAGGCATTTTCCCAGAAGTCAAACCTTATTGTACATCAGAAAATGCATAATTTATGAATACAACAGCCTTAAATATTAGACAAATCCTCTTAAATAGGAGAGAACTCATGGTGTGAAGCCTACTATTTGAATGCTGAAGAGTAGAGTCCCATAAGAAAAAAGTATCAGTGCAAATCATATTTTCTGGAAGTGATACATTTTTTCAGAAAAAAAATTACGAAAGAATTGAACTACACATAATACCGCATAGAGCTTGGAAAGTAAGCATAAATTAAATAATAAAGGAATCCGTGAAAACTAGATACCATTCCTGGTTTTTATAATAAATAATTGCACAAGTGTGAGTGTAAAATAAATGCTTACCATGTCATTAAGTTATTAAGAGTCTGGTGCCATCTGTAGTCGCTACTGAGGTGGAAGAATCACTGGGGTCCATGAACTCAGAATCAGCCTGGGAAACACAGTGAGACCCTGTCTCAAAAAAAGAAGCGAGAACCCAAAACAAACAAAATATTTTTAAAAAACAGTTTCTACAAGAAGAAAATTACAATTTCCCCGTCCTTCTAATAATATCTGCATAATTGAGGCAGTGTGGTTTAATAAGAAGTATGAATTTCAGTAATATTTTCATCCATTTGCTGGCATATTTTCCTCCTTGTACTGGTGAATGAACCCAGGGCCTTTGGCATTAAGTGTGTCCCAACTTTTATTTATCTATTTGTTTTGAGATAGAGACTTGCTATGTTTCCCAGGCTAGCCTGAAACTTGCAGTCCTGCCCTGCCTCCTGAGTAGCTGGAATAATGTGTGTGCCACCACCCAATGCATGGCACTTTACTGACAGTTTTAAAGGGCACAGCAGTGTTACTAAATCCGGGTCTCTGCATTCATTGCAAAGTGAAGACTTTTGGCTGGCCTTGAATTTACTGTGTAGCCTGGGCTGGCCTCAGACTCACAGCAATCCTCCTGCTTCAGCCTTCTCAGTGGTGGGAAGTGCCATCACCCCCAGCTATGACTTATAAAGATGTTTTCCTAAGTATGTAAATGCAAAAACAAAATTTAACAAGGTACTAACTGAGGAGAAACAAAGCTATTGTGTTCTGTATTACAATAAGGTTTCAGTTAAAGAAAAATATTTATGTAAATAAAACATTTGTACTTTAAATATTTGTTTTTTTTTTTTCCATTGGTGTATCATCATAAGCTTAAGGGATGTTTAACTTTCTTTGTGATAAATTAGGGTGTCATGAGACTTTGTAACTTTAGGGGAGTTTTAGAGGTTTTGTTTTCCTGTGAACTTGATAATAGGTTTAGCTCCTAGTATTGCCTGGAATTTCCCATATAACTAACATAGGCATTATTAATCAAGTTGTTTGGAAAGACCCAAATTTTTCTGCTTCAACTTCATGTTGGAATGCGACATTTTTTGGGTTCTGCATATTCCCTTCAAATGATTAACCAGATATTGTTTATACTAAAGTTGTTAACCAGACATGGTGGTGCACACTTGTAATCCCAGTACTTGGGAGGCCAAGGCAGGAGTAGCGCAGCAAGTTTGAGACCAGCCTGGCTATGGAGTGAGGTCAAGACCAGCTTGAGCTACATGGTGAAACTGTTTCAAAAAACAAAAACAAAACAAGGAAAAAAAATGGGCCATGGATTTAGCTCAGTGGTTCTTCCTTCTGCCTTACCAGTCCCAAGTTTGATCCCTGGTACCAAAAAACAAAACCAAAAAAAAGCTGTAAATTCTTATTGCTCTGCACAGCATTTTTGATGTCAAAAAACTTCTATATCTTTTCTTGAGTGGTAATAAAACAGCTTAAATTTAAATTCAGAAATGAAACCTTTTCCTTTTAAGTTTAAGCTGCTATGACTATTTCCATTGTTTTTATTACCCTTTTTTGAAGAGTAATGAAATATAGTGCTTTTTGTTTTGTTTTGTTTTTTTTGAGCCAGGGTCTCATTATGTAGTTGAGACTGACCTGGAACTCACTATGTAGCCCAGGCTGGTCTTGAACTCACAGCGATCCTCCTGCCTCAGCCTCCCACATGCTGGGATTATAGGCATGAGCCACCACGCCCGGCTATAGTGCTTTTTTGAATAAGCATACTAAAAGATCTAAATTAAATCTTATCATTTTAAATTACTTTAGGAGCCTATATCTTAATTTTACTTATGCAATAATTCCAAATTTTTGGAACATTCTATTTTGGGAATTGTCTTCAGAATCAGTTTGCCAACCACACAGGAAAGCTAGGTATTTAGAGTTCTAGGTCTTGCTTTTTTTCCATCTCAAGAGTTTTCTCATTTCCTACATGAAGTCTTGATTTAGTCCTAATTAGTGCTCACCATTCTTGTCTCTCCATCCTTCCCCTCCCCATTTCCTTATCTAAGAAACTCCAATCTGCACAGTCAGCAGGAAGAGGGGTAGGAGGCTCCCTTCTTGGCGGTATGGTGTGAGATGCCCTTGAAAGAGCTAATGTAGGTCAAGGAGGCGAAAATTGTACAAAAGTCTGTTGCAGCTCACTGGGAAGAAGATGGAGCCAGGACATCTGAATACATCAGGAGTCATGTAATCTAGATCCATAAACTTTTCTGCTTCCTTTCTTAGGTGAAAAAGATATATAGAATAAATTAAAATATCATTCTGGTTCTGGGCCAATGTAAACTGCCGCTGAAAGACTTTCTGTCACTGACTTCATTGTCTTCTTAGGCTGTGCAAGATTTGGGCAAGAAGAGAAATCAAAACTGTTACATCGAAACATCTTGGACTTCAAGAACTTCCTAGCTATTTGTGCCCTTTTGCTGAAACAGCCATATACAATCAATCTCTTTGTTTTTGTCATCTCTGAGAAAACATTATACTTTGAGATTTTTCTTTATTTACTCTATGAGAAAATCACTAAATTATGTCCTCTTCCTTTTTTATTTATACATAGGTGATAGGCATTTTTCCCATTAAAAATGTTCACTTTTTCAATTACATCATATGTGCTTATTTTATTTTATTTTTTATTTTTTGGTACTGGGAATCTAACTCAGGGCCTTGAGCTTGCCAGGCAGGCGCTGTGCTACTGAGCCACATCCCCGGCCCTATATCTGCTAATTTTAAGGAATCAAAAAAGTACAGTGAAAAAAAGTGCAAAGTGGATATGTGAGTTTATGAGTACTTGTTTTCTGGAAAAGGATAAAGTAAAGATGTAGGTAAAAATGTACAAACAAAATAATTTTAAAAGCATAAAAATGAAATGTGCAATTAAAATCTGAAGAGGGAAATATCGAAAACAAATCCAAAAGAGTGCAGGACAGGTGGAAGTTGGAGATAAAAGGCATGGTAAATAGAAAAAATAAAGGTAGAAATAAGAGTATACCAATAATAAATTGAAAATAGGTTAAACTCACCTCTGATGAGGAATGAACAACAATCTGTTACGACTTTTTTCAGAGGTACTTTAATCCTTTTATAATTTCTGTGCAAACTAAAAGCATATTTTCAGTGAACTAGAGCAGCCCTCGGGACAGAATGCCACCTTGTTCTATAAAGCTGCTTTCAAATGTATGTCATACTAGCAACAGTGACACATGTATATCATTCTTAATGGTATCTACTTTCTGTTGATTTATGTACAATCTGGAGTTTCTCAGATGAGGGAGGTGAGTGGAGAGAAACTAAAGCCCCAAAGCTGTACGTTTTTTACTGTGTTTGAAGTTATTTAAATGGCTTCTTTGCATGTTATTATTGATTTACTATGCAGTTTGGTACCCTTTTCTTTCTTTCTTTTATTTGTACTCAGTTTTCAGGGCTTTTTTTCATTTTTAATAAAAATGAAAGAATATCTTCAGATTATAGAAAATTTCAAAGATACACAAAGGTCAAGAGAATAGTACAGTGAATCCCCATCCATGTACTTACACCTATTTAATCAGCAATTCAGGACCAGTCTTATTTCTTCTAAATCCTTCTCAGTGTCTACTTGCTCCAAAATTATTTTGTTATTGTAATGATAACCTATTCTTTAATAAAAATCAGATGACTCCAGTAGCATAATCTGTGATGTGTGACAGATAAGAAAAGCTGTAAAAGATGTGAGATACTTTGAACAAATCACAATACTCTTAGAGTACTAGAGAAGGTGTAATATGTATAACCAGCATTTAAACTACTAACCTCTATCCTAAGCCTGACTGGTATTTTGTTATGGAAACTCAACTAATGGAATCACTCTACTTTTTTCCCATGAGCTCTATATCAGTTTCTTTTTTAAAAAAATTTTAATTACACACATTGTGGGGAATTAGTGGAACCTCAAATTATGACCGGCCAGACATATGAACAACTTCGGTTAATTAGATTAATGGAAGATTCATCTGCTTCTTTTTTTTTTTTCCTTTTATTGAGTTTGTTGGTACAGTCTAGGTATACAATACAATTACATTCATCATTGGGATTCTGTACCTTTACATAATATCCTCACACTTCCCACTTTCCCTACACCTTTACCCCTTTACTTCCTATTTCACATTATTAACTATCTCATTAGGATCCTGTGTACTATTATAGTTTTTCACACCAGAGAAACTATTCGGTATTTCAGTTAAAGAAATCTTTGTATGAACATTAAAAATAGAGAACCCTAAAATAAAACTAAAAAGGAAAGTAAAAGAGAAAAGGCAATGATGTAAGATTAGAATACTCCTTAATTCTGAAGATGAAAATGGTCCCTGAACATATTTAAATTGCTTCTTGCTCTTGTAGCCTTATCTTATTCTTTTTTTCATTATTTAGAGAATAGTTTATTAGTTTCTGTAATCAAACTCACATAGATATGACCTTACATATTTAGTATAGTGCATTGCCCCTGTACAAATGGAAAAAAATTAAAAAAAAAATTAACATTCCTAGACCAATATGGCTGTCCATTTTTGTACAATGCCAGCTCAACACAGTAAATTGGGATAACTTTTTCCAAAGTTGGCATCACCATTAAAGTTTCCCAAAATTCAATTTGTATATATATATATATACATATTTATATTTATATAAAAAGACTAATAATAGCAATATGTTATGCATTGACAGCAGCAACAGCTTTTCCAGGTTCTGCAGTCATCTGAACAAAATTATAGACATTCAGCACATTCCATTAAACAAAACAAAAAGAAACAAAGAAAAGAATAATATCCAGAAAACAGCAAAGTTCTGTTGCTGTTGTGGTGCCTGGCACCATTTTTTTTATTAGCATCTTAATCATCCTCTGGAAAGAGAACATTCTAGAGTAATATCATTAAATGTAGCTCTGATAAAGCACGGTCCCTACTATGTATCATAAAGCAGGTACTAGATATTTTACATTCAAAGAGGTATGATACAGTACCGTCCTACATCAATAATACTAGATTCAGTTTTGGTTTGAAATTTACTTTGTTTGCAAATAAGATTGCTACCCCTGTTTTTTTCTGGGCTCCTGTCACGTGGAGAATTGTTTTCTATCTTTTCACTTTCAGTCTATAGGCTTCTTTTCGCACTAGGTGTGTTTCTTGTATTCAACATATTGTTACATTTTGCTTCTTATTCCATTTTGCCAGTCTATTTCTCTTTATTGGTGAGTTGAGGCCATTGACATTGCTGCTTATAACTGATACGTACTGACTTATTATTGACATGTTTTGGCCTTTTGTTGACTCTTTTTTACTTTTTCACCTTCTCCTTTTAGTTTCTTGCCTCGCCTACTTGATTTGCTCTGTTGGGCCTCATGGTGGTGTTGCCTTCATTGTCTTTTTCTAGGATCTTGTTTAGAATTCCTTGTAGTGCTGGTTTGGTATTCATGTAGTTTCTCAAGTGTTCTTTGTCGTGGAAGTGTCTTATATCCCCATCCATTTTGAAGGAGAGTTTTGCTGGATACATCAGTCTAGGTTGGAGGTTGTTCTCTTTTAGTACTTGAAATATCTCATTCCAGGCTCTCCTTGCCCCAAGGGTTTGTGTTGAAAAGTCTGCTGTGATTCTGATGGGCTTTCCTTTATATGTGATTTGTTTCTTTTCTCTTACTGCTTGTAGTATTTTGTTCTTCTG